CAGAGCCCTGCAGAAGCCAGGCGCCGGGTCAGCCCTGTGACGGCAGAGGACAGAGGCGCCGGTGCTGGGCCGTCAGGTCGGGACACGCTGTCCGAGTCTCACCGGGCCGTGACGGCAGCGCCGAGCCACGCTGTCCCCGGGGGGAGCGGGCCCCATCTGGTTGTGGGCACCCTCAGCCCTTGTCCCCATGACCCCGCTGGTAGGAGACTCCAAGAGACAGCCCACTTGCTGCAGCATTGTTCACGGAGCCGGTGGGACAGCCGCCTGTGTGACTCGGTGATACTGCAGGCATGCAGAGCACGTGCTCATGAAACGAGGGGGGCCCGCTCTGGTGTTGAGACCCCCGACCTCTCAGCCTTGTAAACGTTTTTCATACAAACATTAAACCAGTAAGATGACAAGGCCCCAAAACTCAGTGAAACAAACTCATCCCGGGTAGGTCACCCCAAAACTTAGTGGCCGAAAGCAGCCATCGCCTTACTACCCTCCCTGGTGCCTCTCGGTCGGCCCGGTGCCTTTTGGGATGTAACCTCAGAGGTCACATAGCATGACTGCTGCCATCCTCCCGGCATGCAGGCGGTCCCAGACGCCCGCCACGCTCCCCGGGGTGCGATGGCAAGGTTCCAGAACAGGCCGAGGGCCTGGCAACATCATGGCGGCCTCCGCTGGTGCAGGGACTCGCTGCTTTGCTCTGCATCTGCGATGGGTTTACACTAAGGCCAAAAAGTGCAGAGAAGTCAGGGTTCATTCAAGTGTTTGGTCGTTGGCATTGTTGTGCAACTCTATTGGGGGACCAAGCAAACACTCTATTGACAGCAGCAACCCAGATGTTAACGTAAGAGAAAAAATACAAGTGTAAAAGCTAAGGAGTTAAGGAAAACCACAATACTCCCAAATATGAATTAGAAACAACAACATGTACTGACAATCTACTTTCAAACAATTGGGGCTTCCTGGCTGTGGAGACAGAGGGCAAACCCGGCTGCTGGGGGTCCCCAGAGAGCCAGACTCGGGGCTCAGTGCCACCCCTCTCCCTGGAGAAGGGGGGCCCGCTCCAGGTCTAGAGCAGAAGTACCAGGACACCCCAAGCCATCTGTCCCCAAAGGGAAGCCCTCAAGGACCAAGGAGGTCATGTCAGAAGGGGGACAAATCAGAAGGGCATCGTGCTGGTGCAAATACTGCATGATTCCACGTCGGTGACGTTCCTGATGTGCTAGACCTGTAGGAACAGAGCGTGGGGGGCTTGTGTTTGTGGGGGCTCCGGGCCGTGGCCGCAGTGGCGTTGCACACACCCGCACCCGGGACAGTGCTGCTCTCCTGCGGCGGCTCTGTGCTCTGGCCGGCACGACGGCACCGTTGGGGGGAACTTTCACAAGGGCACACGGGGCCCCACTGGCCCTCAGCATCTTGGGAATCTCTCCTGCAACATGAAACCGCCTTGGGAGCTTCCACCGGCCGAGTCGGGGACAACTTGAGTCTTGAAAGCAAGGATTAATTGAAATCCGGGCACGTATACTTATTCTCAGAAGCGAAGGAAGCCAAGAAATAATAATCTGTCCCCCCTGGACGTGGAGTTTGCGTCCACTTCTTACTGGGTGACTTAGTTACTTCTCCGCGGCAGAATTGAGGCTGCCTCCGCAGGGCGTATGGGAACCGGACTCGGGCCCCCAGCGGCCCCGGCGGAAAGCACCCGTTAACAGAAGTGACGGGATGCTACGCACAGAAAGCCCCCGTTCGCCAACCCGAGTGCAGCACCTGATCTAGGACAGGCCTACGGCTGCCGACATTCCCCGGTCACAGCAGGTGCCAAGGTGTTACCTTGCAGGTGGCTCGTAGGTCATGGGGGCCAGGGGAGATGTGCGTGTCACCTTATGGTGCCAGACTCTGCGGGCCCCCCTCCTGCCCCAGCCCTGGGTCTCAGCATCGCCCAGAGGGGGACAAGCACAGGATCCGGATCTGGGCAGGGGTGATGCCAGAGGAGCGAGGCGGTGCATCTCACTTCCCGTTCACGGGCATCACGGCAAAGGCACAGGCAGGGGTGCCGCTGGGGAGCAACCGGACTCTGTGGGACGCCCGGGCTGCTGGGCCATCCAGGGGCCCCGGTGCTGGGCGGTTGGGCCGAGAGGAGGAGGCCGACCAGAATGGCAGAGACGCAGGACGCGGGAGCCTTGTTGGGTTTGAGCACACCGGCCTGGAGACGGCCTGAGTGGTGGCCTCTGTCCCGACATCGTCCTCTCCGCTTTTCTGCTTGAAACTTTTCATGACCAAATGTCCTTTAAAGCACGCCACCAGGAAATCCTCTCGTCTTCCAGGAAGGATGCCAGCCCTGCTGTGCTGCCTCAGGAACAGGTGAGCAGGAGGTTGGCCTATGCCCTGGCCGCTTGGAGGGAGAGCCAGGGGGCCTGGGGGGGGGGCAGTGAATTGAGGGGCCTCCATCAGAGTCACAGCCCCGGCCCCCCCTGGCAGGTCCCCTCAGGTAGGCTGGTGAGCAGTGTCCTCAGTGCCCCACAAGCTGCGGGAGAATCTTCTGGAACAAGATGGGGTGGAAATTTTTTTTTAAGATTTTTTTTTTTTTTTGAGAGATTGAGAATGAGAGATAGCACGAGAGGGAAGAGGGTCAGAGAAGCAGACTCCCTGCCGAGCAGGGAGCCCGATGCGGGACTCGATCCCGGGACTCCGGGATCATGACCTGAGCCGAAGGCAGTCGCTTAACCAACTGAGCCACCCAGGTGCCCGAAATTTTTTTTGAAAGTATATTAATTCACCTGTGACAAGTACGTGCAAGAAATCTTTTTTTTTAAAAGATTTTATTTATTTGCGAGAGAGAGAATGAGAGACAGCACGAGAGGGAAGAGGGTCAGAGGGAGAAGCAGACTCCCCGCCGAGCAGGGAGCCCGATGTGGGACTCGATCCCCGGACTCCAGGATCATGACCTGAGCCGAAGGCAGTTGCCCAACCAGTTGAGCCACCCAGGCGCCCGTTCCTTTGTTCCCTTTAACAGGAAAATACGTTTGCTATGACTTAACGCTTCATGTAAGTCAATCCATTTATGGCTGTATCGGGGGGCGAAATACAGTCACGGTGCCCACGCCTGGGCTGCTTTCTCCAAGCAGAGTCTGGGCCACGGGTGGACCCAGGAGGTAGCGCTTCTGGCCCCTCAGAGGGTGGCTCGGGATGCAGGCTCCACAGCGGCTGCTCCTGGTCATTCTGAGCACCGGGGCCTGTGGGGACCATTCGTTGTCTGGACCATGATGCAGGCTAAGCCACTCATAGGACAGACAGGAGAGCCTCATAGCAGGGGCAAAAGGACGGGCCCAGGCTCCAGCTCTAAGACCCCCACCCACCCTTGTCCTCAGGCATTTAGTCCCCTCCCTTGGCCGGGGTGGGGGGGGGGGTCTTCGGAACAGTCCACACCCGCATCAGGCTGTTCCGCTCGCCAGTGTTCTAACTCTCCAGCAAACCTGTGAAACGGGGACTACAAGTGCCCATGATTGACAGATGGAGAAACTGAGCCACAGGCTGTCAGGGACACCCAGCTATATTTGGGAAGGTCAGAGATTTGGCCCCAGGGGTCTGACCCAGGAACACCTGCCCTTTTACTCCTGTTCGGCACCGCACAGCCTGCTGTCCAGGATGACTAACGGGGCACACCTCACTGTGTGCTGTGAGCCGAATGGCAGCCCCCTAAGAGATTCAGCCCTAGCTCCTGGTTACCTGTGCACTTAACACGTGGAGAAAGGTTCTCTGCACATGTGATCGAGTTAAAATGAGGCCACTATGGTAGTCCCAATGTAGTGACCACAGAGGAGGCCAAGTGAGGATGGAGACAAAGCCTGGGGGCAGGGGTGGTGGTGGGGACTGTGGCTGCAGCCCAAGACGGCCTGGGGCCCCAGAAGCTGGAAGAGGCAAGGAAGGACCCTTCCCTGGAGTCTTCAGAGGGAGCCCAGTCCTGTGGCACCCGGATTTCTGCCTTCTGGCCTCCAGAACCTCGAGAACATAATTTCTGTTGTGTTTTCTTAAGCACCCAGGTTGGTGGCACTTCGCGGTGTGGCAGCCACAGGAAAATAAAACCGCCTTCTCGACGTGTTACAAACAGAAAGGCTTTGGGCACCCCTGGCCCTCTTTCAGGACAACTCAGTGCAGTGACCCCAGGTTCACAGTGCACCACCACCGCCTGCCCATGTAGACTGCTGACCCAGGCACCATTTTTGAAAAAATAGACAAAAATCACGAAACACCTCCCCCCCCCGCAACTGCAGATGCAGCCCGGAAATGAAGAACGTCAGGAAACCTGGGCCTGGGGCGCATGGCTTTCCAACCCAACTGTCATCTTGCTCCAGTTGTTAATTCAACGCTTTTCTACAAACTGTGATGTGATGAGGCTGTGGTTGGTACCCCAGCCCGGCGGCAGGGCCCGCACCAATCGGCCTCATGGGTGCGGGGGGTGGGGAGGGGGGTCTGCTCAGGCCGCAGCCAGGCTGAGAGCCCGGTGTGCGCGGACGCGGGTGCGCGAGAAGGCGGGACCGAGTGCGAAGCCCATAGGCAGAACAACGGGATTTGAGGACGGCAGAGGCATGGGCGGTGGGGTCGCCGGGGGTCTGCGGGGTCCGCGCGCCCGTTATTGCGGATGGCACCGAACTGGAAGAGCACCGCGGGCTCGGGAGGGGGGGGTCAGAGAGCGGGCGGCGGGCGGCGGCAGGTGCCCTCCACGTGTCCTCCGCGCGCCCCGGCCCCTTAAAGAGGCGGAAAGAACGCGAGCGCGCGCTGCCGCAGACGTCACACGCCCGTATTTGCACACGGCTCGAGGGTCTGAGCGCGACGCAGCGTGACGTCCCCCACCATCGCGGCCTCTGACTGGTCGTCGCCGGCGGCGCCGGAGCGTATTTGACTTGCGCCGAGCCCGCCCAACCACAGCCCGTCTTGCTTACGGAGGGCGGGGCCAGGGGCCTCGGCCAATGGAAGGCGGTGTTGTTGGCGGCCACGGCGGCGCAGCCCCTGGAGCGAGCAAGGCCACTGCCGCCGCCACTGCCGCAGCCGCAGGAGGCGTGAGGAGTGGACGCGAGGCGCTTGACCGGGTAACGGCGCGCTGGGGCGGCCGGCTAGGGGCCTGAGCCGGGGCAGCGGGGGCCCAGGGCGGCGGGCGCGAGGCCCGGGGCCGCCGTGGGAGCAGGCCTCGGCGGGCAGGGGCGGGGCGGCAGCCGGGCTGGCGGGGAGGCCGGCGGGGAGCCCGGGGTGGCGGGCGGCGGCGGGCGGCGGGGAGAGGGCGGCCGTGGGTGACCCGCCGCCCCGCCCCCCTCCCCGGCGCGGCCCTGAAGGTCAGGAGGCGCTTTGTTTCCGCGTGGCGGTCTGCCCGGCTGGCCGTGACCGCGAGGGGAGCGGTAGCCGCGGGCCCCTTTGTTTTCGGGGCGCGGGGTTGTGCCTGCGGGGAAGCCGCCCTTCGGGACCGGGACGGGGACGGAGACGGCAAAGTTCCACGTTCGTCTTTGAGCTCAGAGACGCCGGCGGCGCCCACGGCGGTGCGTCTTCACCGGACTGCCGAGCCGCCGTCCGCCCGGGGCTCGCTGTTCTGAGCGCGCCCGCCGCGTGCCAGCGGAGGACCGTGTGGTCGCGATAAGACCCGCCCGTCCGCGCCGTCTGCCGGGGGTGGGGGAGGGTGGTGTCCCCGGGACGTGCTGCTGCGGGTGTGCGCTGTGCTAGGCTCCGAGAGGAAGGAGTCGTGGGTCCGGCACCGCCTCCCCGCAGTGCCGGCTGTGGCGCGGAAGGCCGGACGCGGGCCGGGGCTGCACCGCGGGGGCGCGGCTCGCCTCTTCGCACGTGCTCTCTGGTTTCGTAATGACCCGGTACCTGGTGTCCTCCGGGCCCACTGCTCGGGAGGCCCAAGGCGCTGGCCGGCCAATGACAGCGGTCCGTCCGAGGCGGTACAGCTTGCGTGAAGGCGCAGGCGGCTCGGACCTGACCCGGCGTTCCTGCTTCTGCAGAGCGGGAGAAAAAAGTTCTACGGAGCCCAGCTTGCGTCCCCTCCGGGACGGTTTGAGCCCGGCGATCGCTTCCCGCTCAGACTTCTGGGATCCTTACCGATCGCTAAATGCGTCCCCCAGTAGAGTCTGGAAATTATTTCAGCCTGCCGTGAGTGATGGCTGGTGCAGGAAATAATCTGCAGATGTCCAGTGAGCTTGAGCGAAAGCCGGGTGGCGGCAGGAGGGGGAGCCAATCCAGAGATGAAGCGGGACGTGTGCCGTTGCCAGGGAAGTGAAACCCGGGCACGTGAAGTTTCTCCATTTACTAGCTGCTTTTTTACTTGTTTCGGGATAAGGAATTTTTTTTTCATTCGTCTTTTGAGGTAAATGTTCCTACTGCGAGATTTCAGAGGATCAGGGGAAGATAAGACCTTTTTGGTCAATAGAAATAGGGTTGGCAGAGTTTAATTTCTTACAACGTCGTGGTGACAAAAGGGACTCATTTTGTAGATAAGGTAGGCAGATTGGCAGATTACTTAGGAACACTTTATTTATTTTTAAGATTTTATTTGTTTGTCAGAGAGAGAGCACAAGCAGGGGGAGCGGCAGGCAGAGGGAGAAGCAGGCTCCCCGCTGATCCCAGAGGGATCCCTGGGATCATGACCCGAGCCCAAGGCAGCGGCTTAACCGACTAAGCCACACAGGCGTCCCACTTAGGGAACATTTTAACTAGAATTTTAAGGCGGCTGCTTCTGGTATGAGGAAAATAATTGTTCTCGAAATAGTTATTTATGTAAAACAGTTATTCCAACAGCATAGCGCTGTCCGAAATACCTGTTGCTACACATTTATTTGCAGTCTTTTTTTTTCTTGGTTTACCAGTGATACTGCAGTTTATTTGTACCTCTGTGTCATAAAGTAACATCTAAATGCATTCCTGAATTTTGCATTATTTTTCAAAACGATTATAGAATAGTGATTGGAGAGATTGGATTCTTTAGCGAATTTAATCATTTGTTTTGATGGTGTCAGTAAACTGAATCCTGAAAAGTTTACTTCTGCTTTAGGATTATTGTCCTCTAAATATGTACAGACATTTTTTTAGTGGTGTGGATCGGCTGTGTGGATTGCCAGACTCTTCTGTGGTATTTTGAGTGTAGAGATTTTTATCTGTATGAGGTAGTTCATAATTCTGTAGAGATGAAGTCCACAGAGTTGGGGTGTGTTTGTCATTACAGTGTGTGAATTTGTATTTGAATCTCTAATGACAGTGTTTCGGTTAGCCTGTCCGGGTTTTAGCAGCCCCTTGGTGCTGGGAGCATATCAGTTTCCTGTATCTGCAGTGCTGACCAGCCAGTGTTGTGATTGACGTCCTCAACGTTTTTCTTTTCTTGAGTGGTTGAGGGTAGGTCTTTCAGTATTAGGTGGAGGTGACCGCAAATGGGAATGTATAAATGGCATAGTAGAGTGTAGAATTACTTTAGAGTTTTTTTTCTTGCTTTCTCTTTGTTGTCCACATTTTTTTAAAGATGTTTTAAAACTGTTTTCAGAAGCTTATGTTGTATTGCCAGAAATTTTGCCAGAGAATCTAAATTTGTTTGTTTTGGAACAATAGTATGTAGTATCTGTGGGCAGGAGGGTGATATAAATTCCCAAAGGCCTACGGCCACCAGCTTCGTGAAATAGGCAGAACCCCATATTGCTGGCATCCAGCACTGGCCCTGATGGCCGGGTGTGAATGATGAGGCAGCAGTGAGGAGTTTCTGGGGGGTTTGGTCTGGAATTGCTGCCTCAGAGGTGCTTACTTGAAGTGGAAATGTGTTTAGGCATCCATGGTGAAAAGGTGGTGATTACCTAGCTTGACCATTCCGCCACTGGGAGATTTTACAAGTGGCCAGAGCAGGGTCTTCACAAGAAGTCACTGTCATCCGGGCTTCCCTTACTTTGTGTGATCGCTCCTCCTTTATTTAGCAAGTACTTGTGTCCCCAAACTGCAGGTGGGGAATTTGTCCTTATCCCGTGGGAGACCCTTATCAATACGCAGTGAAGAATTTTGTGTTCGACTGCTAGGAAATTTTTAAGAAGTAGATTTGTGATGACATAGATTTGTTTTCATTTGACAGCCATTGGTTTTCTACCCTGTCCTCTTCAGAGAAGGCAGGGCTGCTTTCCTTTGCCATTTAATTTAATTTTTTTAAAGATTTTATTTATTTATTTGTGACAGAGAGAGAGCATGAGAAGGGGGGAGGGTCAGAGGGAGAAACAGACTCCCCACTGAGCAGGGAGCCCGATGTGGGACTTGATCCCAGGACTCCAGGATCATTACATGAGCCGAAGGCAGTTGTTTAACCAACTGAGCCACCCAGGCGCCCCTGCCATTTAATTTTAATTTCATGAGTATTTAGTAACAGGAGAGGCAGTGTGTTTTTGTAGTAAGGAAACTATAAGAGAGCACTTTGTGACCTATACTTTTTGATCTTGACCACTCACTGTGTCGCCTTAAATTTCCTCTTAAAAGTATACTCTGCCAACTGTTGAAACTAAATGTGCTTCCGGTCTGGGTTCCTGACTTTATGTACTGGGCATTTTAATATTATCCAAAAGACTGTTTCAAACAAGAGGAGATGATTTCCATCAGTTTTGTGGTAGAGAGATTGACTGTACACCTCAGACATTTACGTACAAAGGTTATAAGAATGCAGTTGTAAGTATTACACTTTAAAACATTGCGTATGTGTAGGAAAATAGCTTTCAATGCCTTGTATCCATTCATTCGTTCATGAACCTCTCTGTGCTTGGCATAGTTCTAGGTACTGGGGTATCACTCTGAACAAAACAAAGGGCCTTGCCTTCCTATATTTTCGTGGTGGGAGACAGATAAACAAGTTGGATGGTGGTAGGTGCTTTTGAGAAGAAAAGTAGAGGAGTAGGGACTTGGATGGTTGTGATTTTTTTTTTTTTTTTTTAAGATTTTATTTAGAGAGAGAGCAGGGGGCAGGGGCAGAGGGAGAGAGAGAGACTCTTAAGCAGACTCCAAGCTGAGTGTGGAGCCCGACATGGGGCTCGATCTCAGGACCCTGGGATCATGACCTGAGCCAAAGGCAGATGCTTAACTGACTGAGCCACCCAGGCACCCCAGTTGTGATTTTTAAATAAGGTGAAGAGGGAAGACCTTACAGAGTGACAAGACTTTTAAATACTGGATAAGGGCAATTTTGAAATGTTTGCCTCATTTAGTCATATACTAATGAATTGTAGAGAAGAGAGAGTGTTAGAGGAAACTGGACATGTAGCAATGAAGAGCCACTTTGCCCTGAGTAAAAATAGAGTGTTTGGTTAAGGAAAGGAAATACATTTTTTATTTTCTTCCAGAAAACTGAGGGCTTGGTCTCTTGCAAGTTTCTGAAGAGATGGTCCACTGTTGTCTGGTGGCAGTTAGATCTTGTAAGCAGACACAACTTGCTCTGTGTGTTCACAAACTCCATGGGAGAGACTAAGGTGTGTGTGGAGTCCCTGATGCCATGTTGTGCGCAGGCAGGGGCGGGCTCTGACCCCACGGCAGTGAGTGAGGAAAGCAGAGACTGCCTGGCCGCTGGGTCCTGCCAAGTCCTGTGCTGGCTCCAGGGATTGCTGCGTTGAGCAAGTAGACAGCTCCCTGCCCTCATGGAACTTGTTCTTCAGTGGGAAACTTGCACTGTTTACCCATCCTTTTTTTTTTTTTTCCTTTAAACATGGTAATAGAAAGTTTAAAACATGCAAAAGTAACGATCCCCCTTATCTAACACCTACATGTAGTAATGAACTATTCTCCAATCTTAGTGCATCTGTAAACATATATGTGTGATTTTTTTTTTTTTTTCTTAAAGATTTATTTGAGAGAGAGCATGCCCATGCGAGTGGGGGGGCAGAGAGAGAGAGAATCTTCAAGCTGCCTCCTGACGTGCACTCCATCTCACTGCCCGAGGGATCATGACCTGAGCCAAAACCAAGAGTCGGACACTCAGCCAGCAGCCACCCAGGCACCCCTACGTATGATTTCTTAATTAAAAAATTTTATAAATGTCCAAAGAGAAAGGAAGAACATGTATTAGATTA